AGAGAGGGAACACAAGCAGGGGGAGTGGGAGAGGGAGAAGCAGGCTTCCCGCCGAGCAGGGAGCCCGATGCGGGGCTCGATCCCAGGACCCTGGGATTATGACCCAAGCCGAAGGCAGATGCTTAATGACTGAGCCACCCAGGCGCCCCTGCCTTTATCATTTCTAAGTATAACTGATACTGATACTATATTAAGTACATTTCCAATTATATTAACAAGTAATTTGCTGACATAGCCCAGTGTTTTTCTTTTGTCAGTGGCTATTTTGAGTAATTTGTATTTGTTAGAATTTCAGGTAGTTCCATTTTATACATTCCTGAAGACTGCATGGTTCAAAACTCACATGATTCAAAATGACTTCTACATATGAATAAACTAAAAGTAAAACTTATTTTGGGCATTAAGTGCAGTTTTATCATCAGTAATACTTTTATACTGTTTCAAATGTGTGTAATTCAGAACTGGGCGCAGTAGACTGAATTGTATTAATACAACTGATTAAAGTGAAATTGCCTCTTTTTTTTTTTTTTTTTTTGCTGCAGAAAATAGAACTTCCAAAGAAACTGGCAAAACGCTATCCTGCATATGAATTATATCTTTATGGAGAAGGATCCTATGCTGAAGAACACAAAATTCTCCCTTTGACTGGTATTCCAGTTCTCTTTCTTCCTGGTAATGCTGGAAGTTATAAGCAAGGTAAGTCTTGGAAGTAAATTTTGAAAGCTGTAAAATTCAATCGAAGAATTTATCAGATACATACTCTGTGTTAAGTACTGTGCTAGGCATACTGGGAGACACAAATATTTGACATTTTGTCTGAGAAAAAAATGAGTACAAAGAATAGTTGAAGACCACTTAGAAAAGAGTAAGATGGAGAAAAAGAACAGGATGGAGTAGGTAGGATAAATGATATAGGGATTCAGGAATCAGCAGAAGAAAGGTTTATGTTGGAAATGGAAGGTACAGGAAACATAACAGAATACTGATTAGAGAAGTAAATTGGTATATGTTTTGCCAAACAAGAGAAAAGATTGGTTTCTTTCTTTTGGAGCTATTTAAATTAGATCTAGAAATACTGATGGGAACACAGAAAGGTGAAGATAGGGAACCTTTATGTATAGATTCCAAATTGAATGTTGGCCTGGAGATAATAGCAGTTATTTCTGGCATAACAATCAAGTAATCTGGAAGTAATTTCATTTAAAAAGTGCTTTTCGGTTATTAACTGGCATATTCTTTTATATAATAAGAATAGAATTCTTTCAGGGATGCGTGGGTGGCTCAGTCGGTTAAGCATCTCCCTTGGGCTCAGGTCATGGTCCCAGGATCCTAGGATTGAGTCCTGCATTGGGCTCCTTGCTCAGTGGGGACCTGCTTCTCCCTCTGCCTGCTGCTCCTCCTGCTTGTGCATGCACTCTCTCTCTCTCTCTGACAAATAAATAAAATCTTAAAAAAAAAAAAAAGAATTCTTTCAACTTTTAGTGTAATTACTTACATATTATGTATTTATCTAGTAAATATTTGTGTTTTAGGTATTAGGGATCCAAAACAGACCAAGATAGATAAAATCCCTCCCCTTTGTTAAACCTATATTCTTGTTGGAAAGACAGCCATCAAATAAATATATCAGTAATATTAAAAGTTAGAAAAATAAAACAGAGTGAGGGAGAAAGGAGAAATAGGGTCAGGAGGTGGCTAGTTTAGTTGAAGTGGCTAGGAAAGGCCAGGATGAGGAGTTAACATTTGCGCAGAGGCTTGAATATAGCAAGAGACTGAGGTATGTGACTATTTGAGGAAAGACCCTAAGGTAGGAACATGCTTAGTACATTCAAGGCCACAAAACCTAGAGAAAGTGACAAGAAATAAGGATGGACAAGTAACTTCAGGCTATATCATATAAGCTGTGGAAAAGACTGAATTTTGATCCAAGTGTGTTGGGAAACTGTTAGAGTTTTTTGGGTAGGAAATGATATAATCCAATCTTTTTGTCAGTTGTTAATTGTTTGAAATATAACACATATACAGAGAAATGTGTAGAATATAGATATTCAATTAAAAATTATTATAAAGTGAATACTCATATAGCCAAAATCTAAGTCAAGAAGTAGAAGATTGCCAGTCCTGTGGAAATGCCCTGTATGTTCCTTCCTGATAAAACTTTCTCCCCTCTTTCTAGATGTAACCACAATCCTAACTTAAAGGTAGTAAATTTCCTTGACTTTTATTAAGTATCTAAATGTGTGTCTCTAATACAATCCACTTTTTGGGGGTTATTTTTAAGCTTCGTAACATAAACATAATTATTCAGTAGGTATTCTTTGGTGTCTGGCTTCTTCCACTCAATGTTTTAAAAATTCATCCAAGTTTGGGATGCCTGGGTGGCTCAGTTGGTAAGTGTCTGCCTTCGGCTTGGGTCATGATCCCAGGGTCCTGGGATTGAGTCCCACATAGGGCTTCCTGCTTAGCAGGGAGTCTGCTTCTCCCTCTGCCCCTCCCTCTCCTCATTCTTTCTCTCTTTCTCTCTCTAATAAATAAAATCTTTAAAAAAAATTCATCCAAGTTCGTTTATTTTTTTCATTCTTTGTTATCCCATTATATGACTATACCATAGTTTAAATATTCTGTCTTTGGACACTTGTGTAATTTATATTTACTGGCAATTACAAGTAAAGAACATTTTTCTTACTTTGGATCACATAAGCCCATGTTTCTGTAAGATGTATGCCATAACATTATTCCATGTCACAGGTTATATGTATCCTTCTATTTTTACTGGTTGTGCTACCTTATACTTCCAGAAATACTACGTTATACTTCCCTTTGCTCCACATCCTTGACAACACTGGAATTGTCAGATTTTTAAATTCTATACAGTTTGGTAGATGTGATTTATTTTTAAAAAATGATTACTCTGGCTTTGCTGTGTAGAGAATATGCTGTAAAGGGGCAAGAGTGGAGAAGGAAAGATAACATCATTAATCATCAGGGAAATGCAAATCAAAACCATAAGGATAGATATCATTTCATACCCACCAGGGTAGCTATAATCTAAAAGATAATAGCAAGTGTCACTGAGTATGTGAAGAAATTGAAACCCTCATCCATTGCTGGTGGGAATATAAAATGGTAGAGCCACTTTGGAAAAACAGTTTGGCAGTTCTTCAGAATGTTAAACATAGAGTTTTATGCTTAGCAGTTCCCTTATAGGTATCTACCCAAGAAAAATGAAAATGTACATTCACACAAAAACTTGTTTACAAATGTTCATAGCAACACTATTCAAAATAACTAAAATGTAGAAACAACCCAACATTAACTAAAGAATGGATAAATAAACTATATCCATATAATGGAATATTATTCTGCAATAAGAAGGAATGAACCATAAAAGAAGAAAATTACAGGCCAATATCCTTGATGAACATAGATGCAGAAATCCTTAGCAAAGTATTAGCAAACCAAATCCAACAATACATGATCAGGTGGGATTTATTCCAGAGATGCAAGGAGGTTCAGCATCCACAAATGAATCAACATGATACAATTACATTAATACAATGAAAGATAAAAATCATATGATCATCTCAATAGATGTAGCCAAAGCATTCAGTGACATTCAGTATTCATTTATGATAAAAATTCAACAAAGTGGGTATAGAGGGAATGTACCTCAACATAATAAAGGCCATATATGACAGTCCTACAGCTAATATCATGCTTAATGGAGAAAAGCTGAAAGCTTTTCCTCTAATTTCAGGAACAAGACAAGGATGCCCACTCTCACCACTTTTATTCAACATAGTATTGGAAGTCCTAGCCACAGCAGTAAGGCAAGAAAAATTTTTAAAAAGCCACCCAAATTGGAAAGGAAGAAGTAAAATAGTCACTATTTGCAGATGACATATATAGAAAACCCTTAAGACTCCACAAAAGGCTGTTAGAATTAATAAATGAGTTTAGTAAAATGCAGGATACAAAATCAATATACAGAAATCTGTGGTGTTTCTGTATACTAATAACAAGAAATTAAGAAAACCCATTTACAATTGCATTGAAAAGAGTAAATAAATACCTAGGAATAAATTTAACAAAGGAGGTGAAAGCTCTCTACACTGAAAACTATAAGACACTGATGAAAGAAATAAAAAAAAATAAATGGAAAGATATTCTGTGCTTATGGATTGGAAACATTAATATTGTTAAAATGTTCATACTGCCAAAAGCCACTACAGATTCTGTGTAACACCTATCAAAATTCCAATGGCATACTTCATAGAACTAGAACAAATAATTCTAAAATTTGTATGGAACCACAGAAGATCCCAAATAGCTGGAGCAATCTTGAGAAAGAACAAAGCTGGAAATATCACACTCCCTGATTTCAAACTGTACTACAGAGCTGCAGTAATCAAAACAGTGCAGTATTAGTAAAAAAAAAAAACCCCAAAAACCAAACAAACAAAAAACAAAAAACCACACACAGATCAGTGGAAGAGAATTGAGAGCCCAGAAGTAAACCCATACATATATGGTCAGTTTATCTCTGATAAAAGAGCCAAGATCATAGAGTGGAGAAAGGACAGTCTCTTCAATAAATGGTGTTGGGAAAACTGGACAGCCACAAGCAAACGAGTGAAACTAGGCCACTGTTTTCCACCATACACAAAAATTAACACAAAATAGATTAAAGACTTGTATATAAGACCTGAGTCCTTATAATTGCTAGAAGAAAATATAGGCAGCAAGCTCCTTGATATCAGTCTTAGCAACGTCTTCGTGGATCTTGCTCCAAAGCAAGGGAAACAAAAGTAAAAATAAGTAAATGGGACTACATCAAACTAAAAAGCTTCTGCATAGCAAAGGAAACCATTAAAATGAAAAGGCAGTTTACTCAATAGAAGATATTTGTAAACCATATATACAATAGGAGGTTAATATCCAAAATGTGTTAAGAACTTATATAACTCAACAAAAAATAATCCGATTGAAAAATAGACATAGGATCTGAATAGACATTACTCGAAAGAAGACATACAGGTCACTAGCAGGTATGAAAAGATACTCAATATCACTAATTATTAGGGAAATGCAAATCAAAACTACGTATCACCTCATTCTTGTCAGACTACTACTGACAAGTATCTACTACTATCAGACAAATAACAGGAATGAAATCTTGCCATTTGCAATAACATGGATGGACCTTCAGAGTATTATGCTAAGTGAAATGAATCAGGCCGAAAAAGACGAATACCATATGATTTCACTGAAATGTGGAATTTTAAAAAAATAAAAAAATAAAAAATAAAACAAACTCAGATAAAGAGAACAGACTGGTGGTTACCAGAGGGTAAGGGGGTTGGGAGTGAGCAAAGGGGGCCAGTTGTATGTGATGGATGGTAAATAGATTTGTGGTGATGATCACTTTGTAATGTATACAGGTGTTGAATTATAAAACTGCACACCTGAAGCTTATATAATAAAAAGAAATTAATTAACTGATAACATGAATTACATGGTACAATGTGCATAAACCTTGAAAACATTATAAAAGTGAAAGAAGCCAGTCATAAAAACCCATGTATATGATCCCATTTATAGAAATGTCCAGAATAGGCAAATTCATAGGGACAGAAAGTAAATTAGTACTTTCCAGGATTGGGAGGAGAAGAGGAATAAGAAATGACTGCTAATCAGTACAGGGTTTTCTTTTTGGGGTAATTAAAAAATATCTAAAGTTAGATTAGTAGAATTTTGTGAATATACTAAAAATCATTCAATTGTACTTTTTACATAATAAGTTGTATAGTATGTGAATTGTGTATGTTAAAAAAATGGAATGGCAAGTAGGTATTTTGTTTGCTAACCCATACACTTCAGCTTTTAATGCCAATTAATGCAATCAATTCACAAATTCTGTGGAAGGGTTTACAGAGCAAAACCTAACACAGTGTGGAAGCAGGTAGGCCAGTGAGGAAACCATTAGAATAGTTAAGGCAAGAGATGATGGTGCTTAGATTAGGAAGACAGTGGTGGAAATGGTGAGAAGTGTTGATTGGGGATATATTTAGAAAGTAGAGGATGATAGGATTTACTGATGGATTGGATGTCATGTGTAAGAAACAGACAAATCAAGCATAAGTATCTAAACCAAGTGATGAGCATATTATTTCTTGTAGGAATTTTCTCATTCTTAAATTAAAATCCTCAAGTGTGACTTATTCATACAGATGGCTAACATTTCTTATTCTTCAAAGTATTCTTCCCCTCCCTTTTAGTTATTTTTCCTAATCAAGTGGAAGCAGGTAAAGAATGAATGACCTGTTTACTTTTTATTTAATTTAAATTTAAAAAACATTTAGGGCACAAGACATATAATACAAACAACGGTTTGTTCTTCTAAATTGATAGAATTGAAGGATGTCACCCTAAGTAGGTTGTTTATATTCAGAGTGTGGGATAAAGTTATTTGTTAAGAGACTTTGAAGCAAGAATGGTTGCAACTTTAAAAATTTTGTTTAATGTACAGTTTGCACTTTCCTCTACAGTTCGTTCGATTGGTTCTATTGCACTTAGAAAAGCAGAAGACATTGACTTCAAGTACCACTTTGACTTCTTTAGTGTGAATTTCAATGAAGAACTGGTGGCACTGTATGGTGGAAGTCTTCAGAAACAGACGAAGTTTGTACATGAATGCATTAAAACAATTCTCAAACTCTATAAGGTAAGAGATAGGCATGCAAATCAATAGTGATCACCTATTAGCATTTTTTAAGGGATTCAACATATTTTAAGTCATTTATTTGTTTATATGGAAGTTGAAGTGAAGATGACACAAAGGGTTTGTTTTGTTTGTGTGTGTGTGGAGGGGGGGAGTCTTGTTTTGAGCTCAGTGGTTTTTGAAGTTTAAATTGAATTTATAAGAAACCTCTCGTGAATTTAGGGGAAAAACTTATTTTAACTTCATAAATTAGAAGTGCATTGAATTTCCTAAAGACCATTAGTATGGATCAAACCCCATGTCGGGCTCCCTGATCAGTGGGGAACCTACTTCTCCCTCTCTCTCTGCCCCTCCCCCTGCTCATGCTTTCTCTCAAATAAATAAAATCCTTAAAAAAATGTTGGATTATTGTTTTTGAACCTTGTTCTTTTCTAATGTAAGCATTTAAGACTACAGTATTTCTTCTAACCACTACTTTAATCTTACAAATTCTGATGTGTTTTTGTTTTCATTTTTTTTAAGTTTTTATTTAAATTTTAGTTAACATATGGAATGATATTGGTGTCAGTAGAATCTAGTGATTCATCACTTACATATATACCCAGTGCTCTTTTATTTCCCTCTGTCTACTAATGACAAAAATGAACTACTGGGATGTCATCAAGATAAAAAGCTTCTGCACAGTGAAGGAAACAAAACTAAAAAGCAATCTATGGAATGGGAGAAGATATTTGCAAATGACATATCTGATAAAGGGTTAGGATCCAAAATCTATAAAGAATTTATCAAATTCAATACCCTAAAAAATAATCCAGATAAGAATGGGCAGAAGACATGAACATTTTTCCAAAGAAGACATAGATGATTTTGTTTTAGACAAGTTTGATTTGAGATGCACTTTAGACATCCCAAGTGTAGTTGGTATGCAATTGGAGTTTAAGGTGACAGCTTAAGAGAAGAGGTCCAGTCTGGAGATGATAACTTGAGGGTTGACAGGATATAGATATATTTAAAGCCATGAGACTGTATGTGATCATTATGGAGTCAAGATGTGAAAGAAGAGACTGAAGGACTGAGGCCTGAGTTACTCCCATATTAAGAGATAAGGAGAGATGAGAAGGAAACAGCAAGAAACTAGAAAGAAGCAGCCAGTGAGGTAAGAGGAGAACCAGGAGAATTATGTCAAGGAAACCAAGTAAATCATTTCAAAGAGGAAGAAGTAATCTATGTTAAATCCTGCTGATAGTTCAAGTACGATGAGGATTGAGAATTGGCAAGTAGATTCCTTGGTGACTTGATAACAGTTTTGGAGGCGTGTTGAGGTGAAAGCCTAACTGGAATGAGTTTAAGAGTATAGAAGTTGAGAAATTGGAGACGGCAAGTACTGCATAGGCAGTTGTTTTGATGAGTTTTGCTATAGATACGTAGAGAAAGATGTGGTCACTAAGGGCAAAATGGGAGTAGAGTTTCTTTTTTAAGGGAAAATAGTATTGTATTTATATACTAGCAAGAATGATCTAATAGAGAGGGAGAAATAACAGTGCAAGAAAAAAGTGAGAAGAATTGCTGGAGTGATGTACTTGAGAAGACCAAAGGGGATAGATTTCAGAGCACATATGGAGAGTTTGGCTTTATCTAAGATCAGGTCTGTGTTGGAGATCATCAAGACCATTCCCAGGCTTGATGATTGTCCAGAAAGACTCACAGGACTCAGCATATAGTTGTACTCATGGTTATGGTTTATTACAGTGAAAGGATATAAAGCAAAATCAGCAAAGAAAAGATGCATGGGGTGGGGTGCCCGACCGACTCAGTTGGTAGAGCATGTGACTCTTGATCTCAGGTTGTGAGTTCAAGCCCCACATTGGGTGTAGAGATTACTCAAAAATAAAATCTTTAAAAAACAAAAAAAAAAAAAGGAAAAGAAAAGGTAGATGGGTGAAGTCCAGAGGAAACCAGGTGTAAGCTTCTAAATATCCTTTCAGGGGAGTCACACCAGATACATTTAATTCTGATAGCAATGAATTGTGATGTGTGAAGTGTTGTCTATGAGAGAAGCTCATGAGAAATTCAGTGCCCAAATTTTTTTACTGGGGGCTGGTCACGTAGACACCCTGTGCCTAGCATGTACCGAAATCCCAACCAGGACAGCAGGTGTTCAGCATAAACAATATTTTCTGCAAAAACAGATTCATTTTTAACATTTAGGAAATGATGGGAATATCCCAGGATCTAAGGTCTCAGACTACAGCCCAGAGCCAACTTACATGCAGTCCATTATAAGGATAGCAGTCTCAGGCTTACTATGTTAACTCTTTTCTGCATAAGGTCCTATTTATTCATAGTAACAGGAGAGAAGGCATAGATGAAGGATCAGTGTGGAGAGCGATAAGCCAAAGTTTGGTAATAGAACTGAGGATACTATATGGAGACAGAAAGGATTTTTTAAAAAGCAATGCTTATTTTAAAAACATGTAATTGTCAGGGCGCCTGGGTGGCTCAGTCGTTAAGTGTCTGCCTTTGGTTCAGGTCATGATCCCAGGGTCCTGGGATCGAGCCCCACATCAGGCTCCCTGTTCCACGGGAAGCCTGCTTCTCCCTCTCCCACTCCCCCTGCTTGAGGGATCTCTCCCTGTGTCTCTTTCTGTCAAATAAATAAATAAAATCTTTAATAAAAAAAGAAATAAAAATATGTAATTGTCAGTGAATAAATGTTATGGAATGCTGGTTTCTTTTTAAACCCAGGTGCACAATAGAGAAGTAACTTGGTAAGATATATCAGTATGATGAGACACTGTATTGCTATGGTAACCATAATTGTTCCAAATTTTTGTGATGATTTCAATTTTAAATAAATGATCTTCTTATATCCTATAAAATCTAATATTCTGGTATACACCAAATATAATTACAACTCTTGTATCTAGTATAGCAAATGGTAAGACATGATCTACTAGACCAGGTGTTCTGATTTGGGTTCAGAAAACCAAAGCGTAGCTATTAAAAATATTTGGCAGAATACAAAATGGTATGTATATACTAATTACAAGTAAATGAAAATGTATTTCTGTATCTTATGCAAAGTTATATAAATAATTTAATTTTCTTTCTCCTATAAAATTGCTTATAGGTAGAGGAAAGTGTTTAGTATTTTTGTTATGATACTAAGACTTCATTATGCCTTGGTGATTTTTTTTTTTTAAATAGGGTCAAGAATTTGCTCCAAAAAGTGTGGCAATAATTGGTCATTCTATGGGTGGCCTTGTTGCAAGAGCATTGCTTACATTGAAAAATTTTAAACAAGATCTGATAAATCTTCTTATCACACAAGCCACCCCTCATGTTGCTCCTGTGATGCCATTAGATCGTTTTATAACAGGTAAATATTATTACATAAACACTAACTGACCTCCCCATTGCTGTTTAAGATTAAACAGATCCTTGCACCTACTTTCTTTGAGAGTGTGCAGCTCAGTTTCAAATTAACACCTCCATTTCTGAGCATCTTTCTTTGTGACTTTCAACTTAGGCTAATAATTGAAACTGCTGTTAGTTTTTTCTGTCCATAGCATCTTACCATGGAGAGCATGTGTCTTATAATCCCTAGACACTTGGGAATCAGTTTAATTACTCTTGGGGATGACTCTCTGTCTCTTAAAGTATGTTTAAATGTCCTGTGTTTTGTTAACTCTTCCAGTACTTTATTCAAAATAAGCTTATATTTAAGTAAAACAGTAGAAATGCCTTGTTTTAAATAAATAGATCTGTTAATGCTTTATATGGTGAGAAAGAATTGCTAATATTTATTACTGTATTTTGGGTGTTGTATTAAGAACTTTACATGATGTATGATTATTTCACTTGATGCTTAGAGCATCATTATTATTTGCATGTTTAAAGAAAGTCAAGTATTATCTTCACTGTTTATTGAAATATTGTATGATAGAAGAAATATTGTATGATAGAAGAAAGTCTTTGAAATCAAAGAATTTTTTCCTGATCAGTAAATTTACACCACTTCTTACCCTATCAAAATTTGCATCATCTTAATTTTGATGAAAGTGAGAAATATACCTTATTGACTCCAAACCAAAGCACCCATTTTAACATAACATTGCCAAGGAGTAATTTATTTGCTGGAATATATGCTGCAACAGTACCTAGAGTTAAGTTTCATTTTTTTCCTTATTACATTTAAAACTGCCTGTAGAAATCTTTCAGTAACAATTTTTAATTTTAGTGAAGTTGCTTAAATTTGCTTTACTAATTCTAATAATTGCAAATGACCTGTAGGTTTAGAAAAAAAAAAAAAGGCATAGACAAGTCATAATACTTGTCAACACAGTTGAGAAGTTTTTTTATTACATTTTATATGGATGAGCCATGTATGTTAAATTAGAATTACTCAGAATATATCTTTAAAAACTTTGAGGAAAGAGCTTTCAAAAGAGTCTGATTTTATTGTTTTTGAAGGATAGCGATGGTCTGTCTCTAAAATGTTCAGGCTGAAAGTAATTCTTAGGGTCAGGGTGCCTTTCTAGTAATCAGCAAGTCTCTTTCTTATTTATTCTGTATTTATTTCATATTTCATTAAGCCAGAATTAGAATGAAAAAAACCCCAAAAGTTCAAGGGGTGGCAGATCTTAGGTTTTTAGGAGACCTATATGACCTTCAGAAGTCCATTCCCTGTTTATACTTGATGGAAATACTGCCCTTTAATAGGGGGACGAAGCTGTGCACTGGGCTCCCCACTTTAGAGGGCTCTGCTCTGGCACTGCCATTCTCCACAAGGTGAGGAATATATAGGCCAAGCAGCCTCCCCACTTGCAGGCTGTGCCTTTACTTCTGGATGATGATCTAGGTAACCAGGCCTTCAGACTTTTCTACCATGGCCTGTGTGGGCTTCTTACCTGAATCTGACCTAAGGGCAGGTATGTAAGTAAGCTTGAGTTGTGGCTAAGGAATGGCTCTGCATGAGGTACCGATAGAACTTGGATATCCTGCATCCTTATAATGCAGGATGAAATTGGAATGGGAAGAAGAGATTAGAGTTCAGTTATGGGTCAGAGATCTGCCCTTCCTGTGCTGCCATAATCTAGTGTCCATCTCTGAGGTGTCAAATTTTGTAATTTGAACTTGGCCTTCCAGGTTATTGCAATGATATATTTGTCAAGGTAGGCAGAGAAAATATATTTGATTTAACAGTTTGTTAGCTGGAATTTTTACTTTTAAATATTTAGACATAAAGCCATGTGTACCCCATTGGTACTCTTGTCCCGTGACCTGCGGATGTTAGGAATGGGTCTCCTTAATCACATTCTAAGTAAATACTGTGGAGATCTTCAATGGGAGGAGTTTGCTGTTCCAAAATGTTTGAAGCCCTCAATGGGATCAAATGCCAGGATCAAAGTACATTAAGTTTTGATAATCAGAAAAGGAAACTCCTCTTCCCTCGCCTCAAATCTTTGATACTATATTTTTCTCATCTTCCATAGGTAAAGTGGAAAAATTGCAGCTTCTTCCTATTGAGCTACCTGTTACTTACTCTAAATGGGTAGAACCTTCTTAACCCTTATATTTTCCATAGCAGCATTAAGTCCCAAGACCAAAGTGATTGTTGTCCTGATTGTATTTTAAGAACTTAAATAGTACTTTGTGTGGTCGTGGCTGGCCGCCGTAGAGAGCTGCTAAGCTCTCACACTGCCATGATTAGGAAGATCTACAATTCTTTAGCATAGTGAACTTGTATCTTTGGAAGAATTTTAGGGGTTTCTACTTGCTATACTGTGTGTCATGATCTAGCAGCATTCTTGTGGGATATAGAGACCTGTTTGTGTATGGACTTGTCAAGGCTAATAAAGTTTGGATATCTTTTTTGTTTATTGATAACTTCAGTAACTCTTAGTATTTGTAGTATTATTTAATGGAAAACAGACTCTGTAAAGATACTGATTTTACTCAGAGTAGAGAAATGTGAATAACATTCATTGTTTATAGACAATTCAGTATGGCTTAAACAGAAATTCAATTTAATGTTAGTATCATAGATACCTTATTGTTGCAGGGAATGACTAATTTTTAACGTGTGTCTTTATTTCCTACCAGACTTTTATATGACTGTAAACAACTATTGGATTCTAAATGCTAGACACATAAATTTAACCACGCTTTCTGTAGCTGGAGGATTCCGGGATTACCAAGTTCGTTCAGGACTGACTTTTCTACCAAAATTAAGCCATCATACCAGTGCCTTATCTGTTGTGGTAATCTTTTTAAGATTCTACTGAAATAGTAACAGAATGGATATAGTGGGGTATAAAAGGATAAATATGTAGTTGTTTGAAAATGACTACTGAGGGGTGCCTGGGTGGCTTGTTAAGCATCTGCCTTCAGCTCAGTTCATGATCCCGGGGTCCTGGGATCAAGCCCCGCATTGGGCCCTCTGCTCAGCGGGGAGCGTGCTTCTCCCTCTCTTACTCCCCCTGCTTGTGTTCCCACTCTTGCAGTCTCTCTCCCTCTCTGTCAAAAAAAAAAAAAAATCTTTAAAAAAAAAGAAAATGACTACTGAGTTGGTGTAGTGCTGCTATGTGTGTATGTGCATGTGTGTGAGAGAGAGACTATGAAAGAATGGGTAAGAATGAGTTGGGAAGGCAGAGGCATGGGTCCACAAAAAGTAAAAAGGATTTTAGAAAGTTTGTGAAAATGACTTATTTATGAAAGTGACTCTTACGAGTAGTTGTTCCTTGTTTAAAATAAGTACCTACCCGCTGATGAGAGTTTTAACTATAAGAAAGTGTGGACTGAAGTCCAGAGGTGCCCCTTGTTATATCTGAGTGCTATATACAATAGAAATGGAGTATCAAACTCTTCAGTGCTAAACTTGAATAAAGGTTTACCAATTTTAAAACTTAAAAATAGCTTTGATAGTATAACAGAACCCTGACTGATTAATTTGCTAATTATTCTTCCCTGCTAGGACATCAAGTATTTGGTCTTTAACTGGGATACATAGCCTCTGTAAAGTGAGTTCAAGTTTCCTTTTAGGACTTACATTATTTCTTATATTTTTAACCGTGAAGTCTTCAGTTAAGATCTTAACTTTTTAACTCCACACAGTATATAGATATTGTATATAGTATGTATACATGTGTATACTGCATATCATCTCCAAATATAACTTAATTTCTTAAAAAAATCCAATGTTCCTTTTGCTTTTTAGGAGATAGTGCTTTGTTTCATGATTGTTCTCTTCATAAATACTCCCTTGCTCAGTTTGTCTATTGCCCCACCTTAGATTACTGTTCATTTATTAAACAAGTATTATTGAATGCTTGCCACACATAGGACAAAAATTATTAAGCCATTCTACTATTACCCACCATTTTCTTACTACCGGAGGAGTTGTGATATAACCATAATAGCTTTGAAACTAAATTGGTAAATCTCTCAAACCTCATTATTGGTATGAATTGTTTTATTTGATGTTGATTATTTGGGGCAGATATTTGCTAGAAGTCCTCAAAACATTAAATATCAGTTCTTTAGTAAACACAGATAATGTTAGTAATATAAAATTGGATGTAATTTTTTCTAGACTTGACCTGGAGCATGTTGATATATTGATGCCCCTTCCTGCAGCTTATCTTTTGGTTACTTTGTGTGTGTGTGTGCGTGCGCACGCACGCATGTGTCTGTGTCCCTCTTTTCTAATCAATTTGATAATTTGTTGCTTTCAAGGCACTTGTATTTCTGTATCTCTGATGAAAATATTTTACCTCTTAATGGAATTTTCTCAAAGCTGGTTACTGTCTCAATTTTATTTAGTATTTTAGCCCCCAAATAACTTACAACCTTTCATATATCTACATATATGTTTACTTTTAAAAAGTAATTATTAAGAAGTAACAGTTTTTTGATGATATATCAAGAATAGTTAATTGACATTTATAGCCATTGGGACTAGAAAAATGAAGTTAGAGACCTCGGTTGTTTTAGTATTAGTAAGGTAGGCTGAACTGCTGTAATATACACTCATACAGATAATAGCACTTAAAAATATTGCTTCTATACCTGCCCTAGGTATGTATTTAAGTTGGTGGGTGGTTTTTGAAGGAGTCCCTTTAAGGGACCCAGGCTCACAGTAAGCAACCCTTTCTTGAATGCAAAGAGAGACACTGTGAAAAATAGTATCAGATTTACTTAATGTTTCCTGTTGTATGTAAGATGCTATTCACAGGAAAGTCATTACCTGGTATGAAAAGGAGTCTCTAGTTCTTGAACAGTGCTGTGCCATTGTTAGGAAGCCTTCTTCAAACAGTTATATTTTTTAGGAGCCTTTTGCTAGTATGTCTCTAACTAGTAGTATATATATCCTAATGTAGGGATGTTTTCAAAATAAGTAACCTTGTACCATACTTGAAAGAGTCTGATTTTGGGGACCTGGGTGGCTCAGTCTTTTAAGCGTCTGACCCTTGATTTTGGCTCAGGTCATGATCTCAGGGTCATGAGATCCAGCCCTGCATTGGACTCTGTGCTGAGGTTGGGGCCTGCTTAAGATTCTCTCCCTCTCTAAAAAAAAAAAGAGTCTGATTTGATTGCTTTGGAATTGTGATCAGGCATATTTATTTTGAAAAAGCTCTCTGAGGCTGGGTATTTCTCAGGCACACCTGATTAAAAAGTAACATCTTAGAATATCAAAGTAGTCTAGTCAGAACTAAAATTACTAAAGTAATTGTGATTTATTTAAAGAACCATAAACTCAGACTCTTAATAGAGTAATAAAGAGTTAGATATTAAACTTCAGTAAGGAATCTGTTAGATGCTTTAATAATTTTTGAAGGGTAATTTAAGCTTGACTAAGCAGTAATGATACTGATTTTATACAGGAACTACCTTAATATTTTTGGATCACCTTTCTAAGAATGCATCATTTAAATATGTCTGTGCATCATAAAATAGTGAAACTAATGTTACATGTTTCTAAATATTAGCTTATGAGAATTTCAAACCTTTGGGAGAATAACAAATGTGCTTTTCTTAAGTTGGATTTTTTTTTTCCTTGTCCTTTTAGAGTTCAGCAGTGCCTAAGACCTGGGTCTCAACAGACCACCTTTCCATTGTATGGTAAGTTAATATATAATAGGCTTATTTTGGTGGTTTGTGGTGGCCCTTTTTTCTTACCAGTGCACTGATTGGTTTGTTAGCCTTGTTAGCAGTTTATCCGTAAATAAATAGATTTGGGAGAAAGATTGACTTACGGGCTTAGAACTCTAACCTTGGTTTTTGTCTCAGTTTGACCAAGGTTCCCTTGACAGCTTGTAAAATCATCTCTTAAAGAACCACTAGCATGAATCTCAAATGAAGCTAGAGTCAAATGTCAGAATTTTAGAGTTTGTCATAGTTGGGCAGAATCAAAGGTACTTGTGATAGGCTCTTCTGAGCTCTTGGCCAGTCACCAAACTCAGGGACTTGATTAATATAGCATTAACTATTCCAGAGCATCACATGAAAAACCAAGTAGGAGTTAGATTTACCCTTAATATAAATAGATTAAATAAGGGTCAAGAAATACATAGACCCTAGTATCTTAACGCTATATGTTTTAGCTTAAAGATTATTTTTTCACTTTCCTCTAGCTGTGCAGTCAGTGGTGTCTGCAAGAAGCACAAGTTTAGGCATATAAAGATGGGGCAGACAGTTGTTTATAGCTGGGATGGACAAGGAGACTTAGGGAGAACAGAAGGACCCTGATAGTTCCATTGTCAAATGTCCAAGAAGATTTAATTTGCTTTATTTTTATATGTTTCAAGTTTAAAATATTCTTAATAATAATGATTCCTTAAATACCTTTAGAGTTTAGAGCAGTAAAGAAAACTCAGATATTCCATTAAGTAATAGAATTGTGCGTGTTTGTATCAAAAGTATATTTTTAAATGAAGTTTTATTGTAACATTGTAACATTTTATTCTTTAGGTGTAAACAATTACAATTGACTACAGTTCGAGCATTCTTTGATCTTATTGATGTTGATACTAAACAAGTATGTATTTTTAAGCTAAAAATTACTTCAGCAGAGTAAAAGCTTTTGTTACAGCAGGATGGATTTAATACTTTTTTTTTTTTTTACTTTCATAAAAGTAGAAGCCTTATATGTTGTATCAACTGTAATTAGTTTCAAAATAGAAATATATTTTTATCTGATAATACTTTGATCACTATTAATAATTAATAGAATGCAATGAAAATGAAAAAGTGAAAAGATGCTTTAGATCTTCCCCCAATTTTTCCCCTTTACTTGTTTAAAATTGGTATATATCCTTTTAACTTTTATTTAACTTAAAATACTTACTACAAGCTATTTTATCCTTTTTTTAGTAATATGTTGTAAACTTCATGATGTATCTTGATAGACATTTTTGCTTAAATTTTTTTTTAAAAAACATCTTTATCTTTCTGGTAGGATCAAAATGTCTTCATTCATTGGCTAACCCATGCTCGCCAGAACTTAAATTATGTACTTTTAGTAGCTGAATGTTTTTTGTAATGAGATTTCACTTATAAACTCTACAAACTAATGATTTTCCAAGTTGTTCAATTAGCAGGACACCTGGAAATCCTAGTGCTATTTATAGAACATCATATTACTCTTTCATCTCTTTCATGTCTGCCAGCAGATATACAGTAGTGGGCACCAAGGATTTCAGCAAAATTCAGGGAATTTTATCCATGAACTTAAATTTTTTTCTGTGAATTGGGAACACATTGCTATTTTTTCATCTTAAGCAGCCTTTTTTTTAACCTCAGGTCATCTTGTTCACTGTTTCATAGAAACATGTCTTGAGAACTGTGGCTATGGCTTCTCCTTTTGGATAAAAAGTTCCCTGTGTATTAGGAAATTTTCTTCATTATGGCAAAGTATTTAGCTGTTATTTTTGGATTCTTTTCCTTGAAGGCTCCAATTTTTTGAGAGACTAGTATGTGTGGCCTCTTTCTCAATAGATCTCTAGGTAATGCTTTCCTTATTGTGTCTTAGAACTTTTAAGTTCTCTTATAAGGCTTTTCACTCTTGGAAGTGGGGTACCGTTTGTGTTTTTTCCTTAACCCTTCAGAAAGCTGCAGAACTGCTATTAGAATCATAAATACTTACCTCTGTCCTGAAGAATACAATAAAAGAGAGACCCCCCCCAAAAAAGACCCAAATTGTTGTGTTTTGCCACATTTTAAGCCACAAGATGCCATATTTAAGTTAGCATATTTATTAAAGTAAAACAGCTTTATAGAATTAACACTATGAATTGGTCATGCAATGCAAATATTTTTCAGTTTTTCAACCTTGTTTTAATTGTGAGTCTTAACTATGGCAAGTGTTTTTTTAGTCAGTTTGAGAGAGTGCAACTAGATATAATAGTAGAATCAATTAAAATTGTAAGACCAGTTTGTATTTGGAATGACATTTGGTAGGCTTAGGAAAAAACCCCATTTCAACCCATGAAGAACAGTAGTATCACAGACAGGTATATTCTTTAAAAATTGTACAGAGGGGCGCCTGGGTAGCTTAGTCGTTGAGCGTCTGCCTTTGGCTCAGGTCATGGTCCGAGGGTCCTGGGATCAAGCCCTACATCAGACTTCCTGCTCAGTGGGAAGCTTGCTTCTCCCTCTCCCACTCCCCCCGCTTGTGTTCCTGCTCTCGCTATCTCTCTCTCTGTCAAATAAATAAATAATAAATT